TTTGGTCGGTGTGTAGTGATAATAAACGTCATCAACGCTTCGTATTCGTCGCCTAATTTATATACCGTTGGTTATTAGGACGAGCAGTATACGAAATTTAGTAGCATACCAAATATTGGCCGCCATTGAAGCGGTGAACCCAACTTACGATTGCAACTTAACTTCCTATGATTCGATCGAAATATGAAAATCAACTTAGTCCATCTCAATATGAATTATTAATGTCTTGTTATTAAACGTTAATTATTTCATAAACATTGTTAAACATATTTTGACAACATTAACGACAAAAAAACACTTTAGTGGTCTGCAATCTAACTCCAGTTTGCGTGAACAGTCGAGCATACAATGAAATAAATCTCTCCTTCCATTTCCGTAAATCATCATTCTAAGGCGAACCCTGTTTATGCGACGGTGGTAGCAAGAAGCCAAAAATGTGAATGAATTTATTTCATGCAGTCATTTATGCAGACAGACATGAGAATGAAAAGTATATAAGCGAACCGGATTGATTGGAGAAAGCGAGTTAGTCGAATCAATCAATACAATGAAGCATGACTAAGCATTTGTAGTCAGGTGAAAAGAAGCTAGACATGTATTAAGCGAAGTAAACAATGCACACACACCCGCTCGAATAAAAACAACCAAGATATTAACGAATAATAAACAAGGTCAAAAGGTATGTGAATAATAACTCCGGAAGAATGGATTGATTAAGCTGTTCAAAGACTCGACATAAAAGTACACACACTACAGATTAAATCAAATGATTTCAAATGTGTAAAAACACAAAACCTCCAAAACTCTGCCCGAATATATAGTAACAGCGCTCACTAGTCACTAGCTTCGTGAGGAAATTCTCGGAGTTCTAGTTGAAAAGACGTGACCAATGGAGTTCAACCATGTCGGGTGTAGACAGTAACTACCAAAGACAAATGGGTGAGGTCGCGCAAAATCCCTAGATCAATCAGAGTTAGACATTAACACCGTTGAATGCCATCGGCCCAGTGGTCCGATGGTTAGGCGTTCGCGCACAATCCCGAAGGTCCCGAGTTCGAATCCTGTGAGGTGCAGGAGTCATGGATGCGCACTGCTGATGAGTCCCATTCCGGGACGAAACGGCCGTCCGGTGCTTCCAGGTTTCTAATGGTGGTCTAACAATGATGATTTCAAATGTGTAAAAACACAAATATCCAAAACTGCCTGAAAACCAAGATGTCAACGGATAATAAACAAGGTCAAAACGCATGTGAATAATAACTCGGAAAGAATGGATTGATTGAATTATCCGAAGACTCGATATAAAAGTACACAAACTACAGATTAAATCAAATGAAATGATGTCAGAAACAGCTGTAAATAATAACATCATCATAAAGATGTGAAGAATAATTGACAAGAAATATTCTCAAACGCGAAATCAATAAAACAGTGAGATTAAGCAGAGATAGATGGTGGTAGCAGGTAGGAGTATCTAGTAGGTAGGCGCGTTTCATCCTATTTAGAACTCATCAGCCAGGTGTACATATGCTACAAATTTGATGTCTACGAGAGAGAGATTATCTTTTATGGATACAGAAAGCAATGTTCCGTAAATGAATGTTAGTCACTCTTGTTTATAGCCACCAACGATGTTGGTTGTCCTTTAGCGTAGGACGTTTACAAAGTCAACTTCATCGCACGCACAAGCACACACATAAATATCTGTATTGATACTTTTAGCTAGTAGATTGAAACTTGATTAATTTTCATTCAATATGTTATTATTATTTTTAGAAAATCAGTAGCATAATTTGACTGCTTTATATTGTGGTCAATAACATCACTGTGACCTAATTATTTTTCGGATTTATTATACACACAATTATGCTGAATATATATATATATATATATATATATATATATATATATATATATATATATTTGACAAAATAATCAGTCAATAAACAGACAACAATCGATTACACTTTTATCAAAAATATTTTTTTTTGGAAAAAATGTAAAGAAATGCAATTTGACTGACTAGTGAGTTAAAAAAATGGTCAACACTATCGGAAGCATTAAAAAAGAAACATTTTACGAGAAGTTGATAACTCAATGTCAAATTATGCTTGAGTTAAGAAAACTAAGCTGGAACTTGAAATGAAATTAAAAATGGTGACGTAAACAGTTGAAAGTTGATTATGATAACCACCAAACTACTTTTTTACAATTACAATAAACTATTGATCAATATGCCAGCATTTATACAAGTTTAATACTTAGAAAAAAGTGTAAGCTCCCTGTGTAGTGAAGGAGAACACAGGTGAGGGCAACCGGATTGTATTTAACGAAAATTACAGAGTTACTCAGTAAAATCGGAAAACCATATCGCAAATCGTTAATTTGCAAAATATCAGTTCATCATATCGAACTGGACTGTTCCTGTTGCAAAACATCAATCCATTGTCACTATTCGTGCGTTTCATACAAATTCCATTGTGTTCTAACTCTTCCTTTGTTGATCTTCTCCCATCTTCTGCTGCCAGACATTACGTTGACACTCACGCCACATACTACTTATAAGTAGCTCACACCACACCTGTAGTAATAGTTTCAAGTGGTAAATTTCGAATTTTTGGTTGGTTAGCTTTTTTGTTAAAAACTCAGAAAAGAATATATCTTTATGCAAGTTTAGGGGCGGCCAGACCAAAACATGGCACAAATCCATGAAGTCACTGACAAGTGGACTGAGTCATGTTGGTAGATGTAGGCTACCTGGTTGGGGTCCGCGAGACGAAAGTCACCGATGGTTAGAGACCTTAAACGACATGGTTCAAAATCGTTTGCAATGGTGCAGGTGCATCCACTCTTTGTGTTCTCTCAAATTCTAACCTTCTGAATTCCTCATAATCTCTATCTTTCTCCTTCTAAATTTTTCTCACTGGATCATAGTTTTTGAATCATATCTTCGCTACCTAATCTTCTCCATTGCTACTAATAATTCTACTATCGCTATCACTCTTAGATTTGAACTGACAGTCACGACTCTGTGCTGACGTGGTATAGCAACCTGAAGTGATGTACTTATGTACGAAGTTCTGTGTTGTATCTATCTGTCGTCTTCGATAAAATAATTCTAAATGTATTGCTGACAGAGGTTCGTGGACTAATTTCTACAGATAATTGATAAACTGGGCAAATCTACAAAATACATACTAGTGAATGTCAAATGGAGGTAAGATATTATACATATGACAGATTATTAGTTAAAACTGATTACTCACTATGTCTATGTCAAAAGTACAGACTTATAAATATCAATAGTGTGCGTACACTTTGTTCGGACACCACACTTAGAGTTTTTTAGTCACCTCACACCCAGAGAGCACATTGGTCAGTCATCTAGGATGTGTGTTTCTTCTATCTGGACCGAACGACCACGGGACTCAATACTAATACGCAGAGTTCTAATGAAAAGCTAATGACCAGTGGAAAGTTCAAACCTGTCAACATTAAAACAATTACCCAATAATGAAATTGGCTAATATCTGTGCAACAATGTAAACTGCCTGAAGTTTGACATGTAAAGACAATTGGATGGCAACTCATTAGTTTCAAGGCTAAACACTTGCAGTACAATCTAAAAGTACTAGGTCTAACCTCCGGGAGGATCATATATATATATATATATATATATATATATATATAGATGCAACGTAGAACTTCGTACGTAAATACATCAGTTCATGTTGCCATACCACATTAGCACAGAGATGTAATTGTCAATTCAAATCCAATAGTAGAAGAGGTAGTAAAGGTATAAGAAGTAATCGAAGAGGTTAGGATTAGAAGATATTATTTGAGAACTATGATTCAGTGAGAAAAGTTTAGAAAGTCAAAACTAGAGGTGTTGAAGAATCCAGAAGATTAGGATTTGAGAGAACACAAAGAATAAATGCACCGGCGCCATTGCAAACGGTTTTGAGCCATGTCATTCAGGGTCTCTAACCATCTATTATTATCCTCTAGCAGACCCCAACCAGGTAGTCTACACCTACCAACATGACTCAGTTCACTTGTCAGTGACTTCATGGATTTGTGTCATGTTTTGGTCTGACCAATCCGCTAACCTTCTTCCAACCGACTCCTACACCACAAAACATAGCTCGTCTAGGAAGTCGGTGGTTAGCCATACGTAACCCACATATATATGCACTGTCGCATAGGCCTACATTAAAACAAATGTTTCGTCAAATTGTATAAGTATCTAAATTAACCTATGATTTAAATTATAAATATACATAGAAAAGCAATTTTCTTTACAAAAAAAATTGTAGCAATTCGAGAACACTCACTGGTCGGCGGCCTATGCCCTATAGGGGGTGACAGTCAGTCAGTCAGTTGCAACGTAGAACTTCGTACGTATGTACATAAGCTCATGTTGCCATACCACAGCACAGAGACGCAAATGACAAATCTAATCCCGTAGTGATAAAGATAGTAGAGGTATTAATGGTAATCAAGAAGATTAGGTCGCCAAGATATTATTGAAGAGGTATAATGCAGTGAGATAAGTTTAGAAAGACAAAGGTAGAGAGGTGTTGGATTTGAGAGAACACAAAGAGTGGATGCACTTGCTCCATTGCAAACGATTTTGAGCCATGTCGTTCAAGGTCTCTAACCATTGGTGACTTTCGTCTCGCGGACCCCAACCACATAGCCTACATCTACCAACATGACTCAGTCCACTTGTCAGTGACTTCATGGATTTCTGCCATGTTTTGGTCTGGCCGCCCCTAGCTTTCTTCCAACCTACTCCTACACCACAAAACATAGCTCGTTGAGGCAGTCGGTGGTTAGGCATACGTAACACATGTCCCAACCACCTCCTTTCCTAACGACAGCATTGCTTATACGGTTGTCCCACGATATAAGAGCGATGCTTCTAAGACATCTATGATCGAATACTAGTAATCAGGGGTGACAGGCGTAAATAAGTAAATAAGTAAGTAGGTAAGTTAAATAATAGTAATAGTATTCGTATTAATAATGGAATACAATAATAAATAATTCTGATAATATACAAATTAATCACAGACAATGTTGTTTTGTTAATGCTAACTGACTGAAATTTAACAATAACACTAATCCATCAATCGATCAATCAATAATAAATAGCCTAAACCCCTGTACATAAAACATCATGTCATTTGAAAAGGTGAGAGACCACAGAATCATCATAAAACTACTACTAATAATAATCAATCTGATCTATTGACGAACAGATAAACGACATAGACGTTGATGTTTTGTCAATTCTAATTCAGTAAAAAATATTTCTGAACAATAATTACATTCAATAAAATTTGTTGGATGTTTACGTAAATAATGTGATTTTAATGTACAATTTTGTGCTGATGAATAATTACATTCACGACAACTAAATGGACGTTCACCTGTATGTGTACGTACATGTACTGTAAGATGACTTTTTTCCACTGTGGTATATTCACAATAAGGACAACTGTATGGTTTCACTTTAGTATGTTGTATCATAATATGTTTACGTAAATGAACATTTTGACGAAATGATACACCACAATCACGACAAATATAACGTCTTAATGGAATGGAATCAGAATAATATTTATTGACAGTATTATTATTATTATTATTATCGTTATTATTAGAATAGGTAGTAACATTTGTATGCATTATTGATGGTATTTGAAGGAGAACATTAGCAGTGGATGAGATTATTTTATCATTATAATAATTATTACTAATATTCGATGTAATCAGCATATTTTCACATGGAACCGATGTTGAATTCCTTCTAACATCTAATGTAGGAGGTGAAGGTGTTATAATTGGATCGTTATTATTATTATTATTAGTAGTAGTATATATATGAGTAGTATTAACAGGATCAATTTGAGATGCTGATAAATGATGATCATTTATTTGAGAATTACTATTATTAATCATATTAAGATATGGTTTCATAACTAAATCACGTTTTAAATATAATTCAAAATTTCGACGATATTCATCATCATCATCCTCATCAGGAGGAGCAGCCGCGGCAGGAGCAACAGCAGCAGTAACAGCAGTACCATCATCATCATCATTTTGTTGTGGTTGTATAAATATATCAGATAATAATGGTAATTGTGGAGATAACATTGAATTTAACGGACTTGTATTATTTGTTGTTATCGGTGTAGTTGCATTCAACAACATAGCTAAATCTGCATAATCTGAATAACTAAATTCTGGATCAAAATCAGTTTGTACTTCTTCAGATGATTGACTTACTTTGAATTTTTTCGGTGAACATGGACAACATGTAATTCTAGCTGTATTAGTAGTAGTTGTTTCTTCAATGATAAGATTATGATTTTTATTTGATTCATATTTCGCGGTTGGATCACAACATAATGGCAATGATTGTGGTTTATTAGATGTACAACAAACAAGTTTACGCATACAACAACTCACAATTGATGCTGATGCTATACATTTAGATGTATTTTGTGTTAGAATTTCATTGGAACATATTGTTGTAGGTTTACAAATCAGTGGTCTAGCAGTACAACAATAATCATTGACAAATAGATTAGAATTGTCATTGTTATTCGTATGATCACTGTTCATATTACTACTGTTATTAGTATTATTATTAGTAGTAATAGTAGTAGTATTGTTAAAATTATAAGGACATATACCAGTTGACAAAGTATTACAACAAGATGATAAATTAAGATTACAAT